ACTTCACATGACTAATATTGGAAATGTCTTTAACTATTCAGGATTCAAATTAATTTGGGTTTGTATTTTATATGCCACAAATGTGAGATATGCAAATTAATTTAGGTTAGGAATTGTCTCTCACATACTTGAATCGAGCAAGATATAAAGAAGAATACTTTGAATAATTTAGGAAGGGTATGAATGATTTTGCATCATAAAGTATTTTAGCATATGCAATTAGCAACCAACTAGGTTATTTTAAAACGTTGTGTTTATTTCGCACTTGTATAAAAGTATAAAAGGAGTGAAAGAAATCTACCTTTAATAATAATAATTACATAATAATGAGAATGATAAATTTATATATAAAAACAAGATGTGATGAATTCTTTAGAAATAGAATTTCTAAGTAATGTAAATAATGGACACATATCGTTTAGGTTTCTTACCAGATGCTATCCAAATAACAATAACTGCATCCCAAGAGAAGTCAATTCCAGAAGAGGCATCGCCCCAAGGCAAGCATCTCTAGGTATCCAAATAGTCATTAAGGATAAGAGAGGCAACATGCCAGGCCAGCCTTGGCCCTAGGCCGATTCTTGTCCCCATAGGGCTGGCTCAAGTCCTCAGGTAAAAAACAAATGAAAAAATAAAGAAAAAACAATAAAGATGGAGGGCCAGGCCGGGCAGACAATAGCCCTACCCTACCCATCAGGCCACAGACTATGGCCTAGGGCCTACTTTTTTAGGGTTGCGGTGAGCGACCCTTTGCCATTCCGACCTAAGGGTTCAAATGATACTCGTTATCTCCACTTAATAACACAATCTGCCCTAAATTAGGAGAGGAAGCCATTTGGGCTTGGATGATTGATATGTCTAGCAGTCGATCAATATAAAGATGGATAAGGCATACTTCTGTATAAATTTCTTATAAAGATGACCTAGTTGTTTAGAAAGAATAAGAGAATGTTAGTATTATGAGCACAATGTTCAATGAAGATTAACAAAAGTAAGGGCTAATCCATTAAGTATAATATCATATATAAATATTAAATATGTATATAATTTGTAAAATATAATTATACGAAATTCTGATTATTGGACAATAATGTTATACAATAATTATGTTATTGTATATTTTATAGTAACTCAAATAATTATAACTACAATTATAACTTAGAATTATAGTTTAATATAATATGTCAATTCTAAATATTGTATAACTGAAATTCATATACCATTACACATATCATCATTATTATACCGATATAAGAAGCATTAAATAATAATTGTAATAAATTGTTATAAGATATCATGCCAACAATTATAATATATTTGAATAATATAATTAAATAAAATAAGAAAAATTCTAATCTAATTAATATATATTATTACTATTATTGTATACTATTATTATTTTATTTATCTTATATTACTCATAATTTAACAATTTTTATGGTTTTTTAAATAACAATTGTCATTTATATTTTGTACGTGGAGGTCACAATTATTCAACTTATTAGATATCAAATTGAGTGGCTTGGGGTGAGTCACGAAGTCTGATAATATGTTTTTTGGAAATTTGTGTTTGACACTCTTACAACCACTCATTTTGAAATTTAAGGGATAAGAATGATTGTGACCTCCATGTACAAAAGATAAATGGTCTCTTTGTAGACAAACCTTTTACAATAATATCCTTTTTATTCTATGACATTAAAAGAAGGGAAAAGTTTATATAGGGCGTGTTTGATAACAAGAAGCAATAACACGAACTAGAAATTGGAAGTTACTAAATAACTGTAAATTAGAAGTAACTTAAGAAGTTCATGGTTTTTGTGCTTGATAACCTCCCTGGGAAGCTAGTTTATGTGTTTGATAACTCCTGGGATATATGGTAAATATCTTATATTTATCTTTACATAGATGATAATTTAAATAGAAACATGTAATATTTAAGTAAAGGGGACTTCTCAAATTATCTTCCACATTTTATCAAACACATAACATGAACAGTAATAGGTAAAGTTCTTTCTTCCTCTTCTAACTTCCTGTTATCAAACACGCCCATAAGGTTGCAACCTTAAAATATAGAATTACAAATGTACTTAAAAAAACTATCGGAAAGGTTGATTTAATGTTGAAAAACCCTCTATTTGATCATCTCGACATCGAGATGTATGAATATATATAAATTTTTTTTTGAGTCTCAGAAATAGTGCATCGTGCAACAGCCGTCCATTTTCAAGGTTTTCATATGTTTATAGATCTCTTTGATTTTAACTATTTTTGGAGTTTAAAATTTTCTAATTAGATATGAAAATAGATTTTAAGGCAATCCTAAGAATTTTTTACAACAAAATTACATGTTCTAATAAAATTTGGTTGTGTGCCTTAATTTGATTGTTTAAGGTTGCAACCTTATAGAAACCGCACCCTTAAAAGAATGGCTGCTATTTTGCATATTTTACACTCATGCTAGTTTTTAGGCTTTTTTTTCCCCCAAAGTACTTGCAGTTCAGAACTTTAGGTTTTGATCCAATATGTTTGTTTTCTTTTTGAATTGTCAGATCGAAACTTCAAGATCGTAAACGGCCAATTCATACAATATTTGGTTCAAAACTTGAAATTTTGAGCTGGTTATCTTGCCAAAGAGCCCCAATAACTTGTTTGAAAATAGAAGTTCCAAATGGGGGGTGTTTTAGAAAAAAACAAATTAGTACAAAAAAGGTGCATTAGTGAAAATTCTTATAATATATGAAGAATTATAAAGATAAATGTATTATGATATATCTTTATGTACAATTATTCACACAGACACACACAATTACACACATATACAACTTTATTGATATTATGTTGTCAAAGAAAAAATGTATATTCTTTGTTATCTAGCAACTTTGTTTAATCTTTTAATGTTTCTACGCACAAAATGATACATTGATACATGATTATCACTTATATAAAATATAAAATTTACAATTCTTGAAATCAATTTGTTAGGGTATAGATGCATTCAAAGACCTTGCCATACTTTCATGAAACATTATTAAGTATCTCTCTCTCTATCTTAAAATCTCTAAATTTTTATATACTTTGTGTATCAGTGTTTCTTCTCATAGCTTTTAGAGAATACAGTTTCTATAAGGCCTAGGCCCTATGGAAAAAAAATAAAGCCTCATATTGAAATCTTGTCCCTAAAACACTTTAGGAAATGAATTTTCCATGACAACTCTAAAATATATTTCCACTACTGATTATGAAATTTATAACTTGGGATAGACCTTGTAGATTTGTGAACACTTGAGAATTGATGGTCTAGAAAATGTGTTACAATATACACTATTTTTAGGGTTTGAACTCCTTTTTTTTTTTACAACCATAATGATCAAGGTCAAGATTATCCATTTGAAGATTGTCCGATACCAGAACCACAATTTCGGTGAGTTTTAAGGTGAGTCTTTACTTTTTTTTATATAGCATTGGCCTTATTTTAACCATTTCTATTTTTAAATCTCTCTCCTAAAATGCCTCAACTTACATAAATGTTCTCTATTTGTATCTTATAATATCTAATACATAAAATAAATTTCTATCCTAGAATGATGGGATTTGCCTTGTTTTAAAAATACAAAGATAACTTGCATGGCGCCCCACTCCCTTTATTTGAAGTTGACGTACCCTACATCCTTGCTACTTGCTACATATAGGGTCTCATTTTATTTTTGCAACATGTACCTATACGTTGATTGCTGCTTATAATCATATACTAGATGGGACAAGATAGAACACAAAAAAATCTGTATAAAATTATATTTCTTATACTTAAATTTTTAACTTTATAATATTTAGAACTAAGGCTGAGGTCTTAAACAATCAAAGTAAAGCACACTCTTAAATAGTGTCAAAATATTTTTTTTTTCAAAAATCTTTTTGATGGCAATGCAAAGATTAAAAAATAGTATAGACTAAATAAATTTATGAACACTTGAAAATCTTAAAAGTTGACAGTCTAGAGAATTCATTACAAAATGCACTATTTCTAATACTTGAAATCAATTTTTTCTCATGTTCATAAACCTTGAGGTCAAGATGATCAAAATTCAGAGTTTCTCAACATGGAAACAACCTTTTCTAAGCAAATTTTTAAGGGTACGGTTTGTAGAGAGCCGAGGCTCTAAACGATCAAATTTGAGCCTACCTTCAAATAGTGTCGAGAAATATGGTTTTAATACTGAAAAGTTTTGTGATAGCCTTAAATTATATTTTCATCTTTAGTTAAAAAATTTAAAGTTTAAAAAATAGTACAGAAAGAGCATATCTATGAAAACTTGAAAATTGACGGTCCAAAGAAGCGTTACAAGATCCACGATTTCTAATACTTGAAATCTATTTTTTTCTCATGTCCATGCATCTTGATGTGAAATGATAAATTTGATGATATTTTGGGATCAAAACAACCTCTTTTAGTGAAAGTTCTGAGGTAGGCTCTAATTGGATTGTTTATAGCCTAGGATCTATATAAACTTTTCCCATTTTTCAAAGGAAAAAGTTTATATAGAGCAGATACTCTAAACAATCAAATTTGAGTCTATCTCAAAAATTTCACTCGAAGAAGTTGTTTTGATGTCCAAATATCTTCAAATTGATCATCTCGACATCAAGATGCATGTACATGGGAAAAAAATAGATTTCAAGTTTTGGAAATAATGCATTTTTTGATTGTCAATTTTCAAGATTTTCATAGATATGTCGATCTATACTATTTTTTCAGCTTTAAACTTTATATATAAAAATATATTTTAAAGCTATCACAAAGATTTTCCATATTAAAACCACATTTCTCGACACTATTTGAAGGTAGGCTCTAATTTGATTGTTTAGAGCCTAGGCCCTATACAAACCACACCTTTTTTTAAACGCGCCTTAATTTGCTTGTTCAGGCCTCACCCGTTTATAGACTTCCTCCAATAAAGTGACGCAACCGGCGTCGTAGATGAACCTTGGCCGTTGCACATGTTAGGAATAAAAATTGGAAACCTCCGAGGGACGAATACTTCTCTCTAATATCCAAGTCAACGTCGCCATCATCTCTCTCTTAAATAGGCGTGCTTATTTCGCACTCAAATTTGGAGATGAGAGCAATGGAAAGGACATGGACACCAGAATAAGAAGGTGGTGATGATTCTCTGATTCCTTATTCTCATATTTTTTCGAGCTGTGAAACAAGAAATGCGTCCATAGCTTCTGAAAGTCACAGGCTTTGGAACATTTTCACTGAATGAGTGATGATGATGGCGGGTGGCAGTAGCAAGAACCATGTCCTCCCTGTCTCATCCATGGGCCTCGAAAGGGCTGACTCTCTTCACCCCAAGCCCTCCTCCTCCGCCCTTACTAAGCGTGGTGCTTATGCTGCTCTTTCCTACATGACCTGTGCAGGTTAGCTTCATCTCTCTCTCTCTCTCTCTTTCCTTTTACTTTCTCTTTCGCCGGACTTATTAGTTTTGTGCATATGTATAGAGATGGTGCCTTTGTTACTTGTTTGTGTGAATTAATCTCAAAGTTATTGTTGATTTGAGGATTTTGATCTGTAATGTTTTTTGTTGGTTTTACAATATGGGTTTTTTCTTTTGGGGGGTTCTTGATGGGGAATGAATGGGGGATATTGTTTGAGGTGACATGCATTTGAGATAGTTGATGAAGTTGGTCTTTTTTTTTTTAATCAGTAATCATTGATGAAGTTGGTTCTGCTTTAATTCAAATTTCTAGTGGTTGCGTTACCACTCAAATTTTCTATTTGGATGTCTGTGTGGATCGTGGGTCTTTGGTTTCAGGCGCAGACTTATCCCTCAATGTTCAATGTAATAATATTCACTTCATGCATCTCAGTCTTTAGTGGTTTGGCCTCTTGGCGTGGTGGCTATGGAATAATGCCTCAAAAGCAGTGTTCTTAGGTTCATATGGTACCATGCCAACAGACACCAGTAAGAAAATAACAAATGTATGAATTCGACAGAAACAGTCATTTGATTATGACTTTTGAGAACCTATCTGCCTGGCAATTATGGGTCTGGGATGTTATTTTGAATGTTTCATGCTTACCATGGCTTGAGACTTTTCTACCCGACATTTTAAGACATAATATATCTTTGTCCCTGTGTGCTTTTCCCTAGAGTCAAAAGCAACATAGCATTGTTCCTATTTGAAGGAGTTCTGGCGTATTTCAGGAAAACATAATTTTTCTGACTCATGGTTGTAAAATACTCACAAAAGTTACCTGCTGCGTCTTCTTTGCCACTAATAGAAATGAGAGCTTGGTACTGTCAATGTTTTTTATGAATTGCTTTGTTTGTGTCAAACTTTCAATTAGTGCTGCTTTTGTTTTCCATTTACACATCCATTAAAGGGAATATTTTTTCTGTTTATTTTTTTGGATGGTATTCTTTATGGTGACTTATGGATAGTATTCTTTGATTAAGTCTTATTCTTTATGGTGACTTATGGATAGTATTCTTTTGGATTGTATTCTTTGGTTAAATCCTTATGGTGACTTATGGGCTGACTGAGGGTATGGCCCTCGATGGAGCAAAATGATGGAATAAGATTTTCATGTTGCTGACCCGAATTAGTTGGGATAAGGCTCGGATTGTGATGATGATATAATGATGTTAATGAGTCTTTGGTTAATTCTTCTAAATGCCCATGATATTATCTATCAAATGAGTAATGCCTTGTGCTTATGCTGGATGAAGAACATTGCTTCACGCTTTATTCCTTTTCCTCTGCTGAACTTCTAAATAATTGCTTATATTTTGGGTATTTGCAGTACTTTTGGTGATGTTTAACAAAGCAGTTCTTTCTTCGTACAAATTCCCGTGTGCTAATGTCATCACACTGCTTCAGGTAAATCTGCTTGCCATGATTCAGGATTACTGGATGGATAACCTTATTACCTCAACTATACCATGATTGTGTTTACTGTGGAATATTAGAATTTGGAATATCTAATAATTTGGTGCACATTACCAGTCAAAAAAATAATTATAATAAAGTGCACCTTTGGCAGCATTACAAAGCACATGTGTGCAGTCATGCTAACAAGAGGTCTTTGGAATCAGATTTGGAATTTTATTGTTCATTTTTAATGTTGATAGGATAGCTGGCAGCTTAATGTCATTTATTTTGTGATAACCATGCCAACAAACTTTGTGTATAATATTCCTCTTGCCACAGTTTTAAGTACTTCAAATCTGTTCTGTTCTTTTTTCCATGAGAGGTTTAGTGAGACTTTTTGCCTGCATTTTTTGAATGTTTAATGGAATTATGGGGCTCTATGAAGAATGCTAAATATGCATTGTAGGTTGGATAGCAATATAGGAAAGTAGGCTCTACTGTATTGGCAGTCCTCTGTTAAACCTCTTATTAAACTATGACTGGCTTTAACATTTGTCATAATCAGCTTGCTCTATTCAAGTTGAACACCTTTGGGTTTCGCTCTATATCTTTCTTTTTTCTTCCACATAACATATACATCTCAGTTTGTTTCTACTTTATCTACAACATGATTGTTTGCACGCATTTTTGATGCACCATGCCTCCATGCAAATAAAAGAGGCCATGGAAGCAACCGCGGCTTTTGGGTACCGAAAATGCCCGAAAAGGCCATGGAAGCATGGATGAGCCCCGTACAAAGATTCTTCCGGGCTCAAAAACAGTGAAGTCCCCACTTTGCACAGCCAGGAACTCACCTATTAAAAGCCATAATACACCCAGGCCCTTCCGGCCCCAAATTGCCGTGGAGCGCACGAGGCCCTTATTCTGAAAGGCACCCGGATGACCCCCGGATCGGCAACATAAGGAGTGTGAAGGTGGGTACGATTGCACCCCAAAACACATCCCTGAATCCCATTTCAATTGGATGTCTTAGCTCAAAGAAACAGGAAGGTCGACATTAGGGGACCATACACCACATGTGTATGGGTATGTAGCACACAAAACATCACTGAAAGCCCCTGGAATTTGATCTCTGATGGCCATGGGACCATCACGGATGGAGTCGGGAGGTCCTGAAACCCTTAACCCCCAAATTTCATCTTAATCAGACTCTCTTAGGCCCTATTTTCTAAAAATGGGTGTATGGCATACTATTCCAACATTGCATTCCAAGAATACTGCCAAAAATGGAAAATTTCTGCAACCATCCTCCAAAATTAGGCAAACTTGACGGCATTGTATCTATGGATCAAAGAAGTGGATCGGGGTGAAATTCGGATATGTTGTACCTCTCGCCAAGCACTTTCATTTGGCATAAGCCTCGCTCATGATGAACGTTCGGATCGGAAGAGATCACAGAGAGAAGTTTGCAAGTTTCCATGCTTATGCAAAACACAGTCTATCACCATAACGTGACATCCGACCATCATCTCAGACTAAATGTGTGCATTTTGATCGTGACTCGAAGACCTTCGTGATGGTATATGGAAAGTTACGATTGGGGTCTGGATCAAAGTCTGTTTTGAGGCCTATTTATATCCGATATTTTGAATATAGCTGATTTTTGGAGTTTTAAAGAATCAAAGGTGTATTTCTCTCTCAATATGGGGTCTTTTGGAGAGATTCTTGGCCCAAAAATGTTTGTGGGAACGTGCTCTACAATTTTCCAGCCAAACATCATAAAAAAATCTGGCCACAATCCGTTGGAAAATGAAGAAGATACATGATCCGAGAAACAATCAAACACTAAAAAATCTCTCAAATCTTTGAGTTTTTGAGTAAAATTTGTTGCAAAATGATTGTAGTAGCCGACTCTATGATTCTACGGCGAAATATCGTCCATTTCAGTGCCAAAACATCAACATTCAATGCCCCATACCATAGATATGCGATGAGGAACCATAAGGGAAGGATTAGATGGAATCTGGAACTTTCTCAACCCCAAATTTGGTCAATTTTCCATTTGGCTGAAAGTCACTTTTAATTTCCTCCCATCTTTTGCTTATTTTTTTAATTATCTACCTATGTTTGTAATGAAGTCTATGAAAGGGGTTGAACCCCTTATTTGTAAAGGTTGGAGGGTGGGAGTTCATTTTAATGAAATTGGGAGTTGATCTGTTTTGCTTGCGAGAGGAGAGAGAAAACCTTTTCAAAACAGTGATCATACCCTTCCAACCTTAACTACCCATCAACCGCACCTTTGTTATCCTAACCCAAGCCTGACCGACCTTGGTTAAGTCTCTACACTTGACCAAGGTTACCAAACCCTAACCTTAACCTAATTGCTCTCTCAACCCTAACCAACCATCCTCTCAACCCTAACCCTAACCCATCCACTCTCTCAACCGCAACCCACTTGAACCCATCTATCCTAACCCACTCAAACCCACCTAACTGAATTGACTCAAACCCATCTAGCCTAACCTACTTATACCGAACTAGCTGAACCTACTCAAATGCACCTAGCTAAACCCACTTGAACGTACTCTGACCCACTTAGCCAAACCTACTTGAACCCACTCAAGCCCACTGAGGCCCATCAACTAAGCCCATTAAGGAGGCTCTTCCAAGGTGATGCTCGGGTGGACTTGTTTTCGTCACACCCTGACCCCGGATTCTTCCGGGGTGCCTGGGTAACTTTGAGCACCTTTCTTTGTCGCCAACCTCCATTGTATGGGGAAACGCTGCTGTAATTTTGTCTGCTTTGCTTAACCTAGTCCACTTGACATTGTCCACTTAACTTAGTCCACTTAGCCTAGTCCACCCAACCTTGCTTGCTTCAAACCAAGCCCATTTCTTCCCAACTAGGCATAGACCTAGCCCACACCTAGGTCCACCAAAAACCAAATTGCGACGGACCCATAGGAATCCATTGCAACCTGTGTGCGCGCAACCCCTAGACCAAGCACGACAATAAGTGTAATGGAGCGAGATTCAAACCACGCTCCAAGCTTGCAGGTATTGATGACATAGGTTTGGCTCTTGGGGAGCTATCTTCGAGACTAGGCGCCCTACGAGTGCCCGAAGGCTTTTTGTGGTGTCAAAAGCTGGGATTTAAGTGGGCTAATGGATTGGGCACGTTCAAACCCCTTTCTTTCTGGTCATCGAGGTAACTTTGATTTGTAATTTCTTATCTTGTTGATTAATAATTTTTTTTGTTGGTTCTCCATTTGCATCGCACCACTTATCCGCCTTATCTGCACATGGACACACACCTTGGGGTCACGCATGCACACACATGTGCACGCGGGTCGGGACGACACATGGGGCTTTCTGACTGACGGGCAACTCCAATGGGGGCGTGTCATCTTGTTGTTGGTCGCACTTGTTTGCACTCTTGTCGCACTCACTCTTTGATCACGCAAATGCCTAGCGATGAAGCCTATTTGTCTGTCGCACATCCGGGTCAGGGATTTCATAATCCCTGTTCCCGATAATTTGGTTTGGGTCGACTGGGTACATAGCAAAACAGACACCTCTGTCCTCCTTACCATCAGCTCCTGGGCCTTTGCCCTCTCTAGGCCTAAGGGTGGCCCAAAGGCCACCCCGTGTGTCTTAGCCCATGGGACCGACACCTTAGTCGCCAACCCCATTCTTTTCAGGGTGGCCCAAAGACCACCCCCGCCTCCATGATCCTTGGGATTGACGGCTTAGTAGCCGGCCCCTCCACTCCTCAATCGCATAAGGCTAGCACCGGCTACTGGCCCCCCTGAACCGTATAGTGCCAGTTCTTATGGCGCAGGTCCACCTATACATGGGACTAGTGGCTTACTTCATTTGCACGGGGCTAGTTCCTGTGGCGCAGGCCCATTCATACATGGGATTGATGACCCCCTTCATTTGTATAGGGCCAACTCCTATAGTGCAGACCCACCCATAGATGGGATCGGCGCCTTAGCCACTGGCCTCCATAACACGCATAGGGCCAATGCCTATGGTGCTAGCTCACTTTCACATGGGATCCATGGCTTAGCCACCGGCCCCCTTCACACACCCATACATGGGACTGGTGGCATAGCTGCTGGCCCCTCACAAAACACTAAGGGTGAACATAAGTATCACGAGTGTTAGAGTTTTTTTTTCCTAGCTAATATTGCGACCCTAGCTCATAAGCCTGGTTCACTTGGAGCTCAGGTTCAACCTCGCCCAACACTACCACCACAACACAAGTGCACCAACATGACACTTAACACAAAAATATACATGCACAAGCACAAGCACAAGCACAGACAAGGGTATAAGTGCCAATGCCCAATTTTATTAGCTCTTTACAGTCACAAGGGTATATTGCCACAGATGCCCACCAAGGGTCTGGGCTTATATAGTCCCGGTCGGTACATTTGACTTTCAAATTCCATGGGACACTCCAATTTGGCCGTTGGGCCTGCTTAGGCCTCATGATGCACTGTAGGCCACAGGAATGCCCCCGACAGGCCACCTACAGGCCTTGCGTGCGTTGCAGCCACATCCATGTGCATACTGAGTTGTTGATCACTGCGCACACCTCTGTCGCGCCATCATGTTCCTGCCCTTGTTTGAATTCGAATTTGGGCGCCTTCCCAGCCCAGACGCACCATGAGGTCCATGGTCCAGCACACTGCCTAGTTGTGCGCCGACCTGGTTGTGGGGCTTGAGCCCCATTGTTGCCATGCACCACCATCTCAATTATAGGCAACTTTGAGTCAAGCTCACACACCATCGTCTCTGAGCCATGCACCTAGCTTGTGCATTTGGCAAGCCCTTCCACTTAACCGGAAATTTGCCCCTCTGGTTCTTGTCTTCCCCACCACTCATCGATCTAAGATATCCTCGACTTCGTGAGTGAACTGTGTTCTCATGTTTGGGAGCGCTCGCACAGCCTGCACCTTTCCTGATCTTCATCACGATGATAAGGCATCTGGAAGCTCACA